CTTTTTCTTTTTTGTACATGTGCCCTGCCCCACCCCTTCTTCCTTGTTGAGTACTCTGCTCCAACACTCCCTCCTTCCTTTCTGAGTGCTCTGCTCCAACCCCCTCCCTTTCTGTGCGCGGCGGCTTCACCCCACCCCCCTTCTTCCTTTTTTAGTGACTTGCTTCACTGATCACTGAAGAAAATCCTGGCCCCTCCCTTGTGATTTATCCCTTTTGTACAATGCATCTTATTAATCTGTCTGTCTCTCCATTTGTCCCTCCATCCGCATTTTCATGCATCTGTTTAATAAATGTGATTGTAAATTCATATTTAAAGTGGTTTGTCCAAGTTACCATGGCAGTACATTACATTCATTTGAACAAGATCCTCCACAGAGACCTTAAAACACAGAATGTGTTTTTAACAAAGAAGGGTGTGGCTAAAATAGGCAAGTATCAGAGCTTGACAAGTATTGTGCAAAGCAGGCTGCCACTCAAAAACCTGGTCCCATTCTTTTGCCTGCCCTTTTGCCAGAAATGCATGCTTAGCAGGCTGCACCACATCCAATTTKCSTCCAAAGAAAACCAGAGCCCTGTTCTACAAGGTGGCAAATCCATACAGGTTGATTTCATTAAAGCCCTGAWTTTAAAATTTGTTAAAAGAAATATATTGATTCCATTACAGGTGACTTTGGAATAGCTCGTACAATGGAAAGTACAGTTGATATGGCTAGAACATGCTGTGGTACGCCAAGTTACCTCAGTCCTGAGCTTTGTCAAGATGTACCATACAGCTCTAAGGCTGATGTCTGGGTATGTCTTCATAGCCATTTGAGCTTTCTGTCCTTTCTGTGTTAGAGTACAGAAAGAGGAAAAAACATTTTCCAGAACAATCCATATATCTTGACAGCCAATCAGAGCAGATGTTGTAGTGATGTTTTGTAATGTCTTGTAGAGCCTAGGCTGTCTGTCTGGTTCCTGTATTTTCTAAAATAATCAGTTCATCTTGACAGCCAATCAGAGCAGATGTTCTTGTTATGTTTTGTAGAGTCTAGGCTGTCTGCTTCACGAGCTGTGTGCTTTGAAATATGCCTTTGATGCTGAGAATCTTATTAGTCTTTACTATAAGATAGTAAAAGCAGCACCACAGGTAACCCAGCTAATAGCATGCACTTTTACACATTGTTCCTCGTAAGAAATCAGCATTCTCGTACCCAGGCCTTTTTCATCTTCCAAACTACGGCAGGCCGCTAGAGGCCGCAAGAGTAGGGACTGGGTACGAGAATGATTCCGGATTCCATGAAAAATTTCGCATGGACTCTAGATATTTTCCGCATATAGTTTTAGATGAACTCACTTTATTCAAATTAAAAAATATATTTTTCAGAAAATTCCTGATAAATACTCGGAGTCATTACGTCAACTCGTTCTACAAATGCTRTCCAAGAAACCGGATGACCGACCAAGGTAATGCRCCYCTTCCCTCTCCCCCAAGGGATTCAAAATGAACCAAATGTTCGATTCTTTAGTTCCAAAAGCAATAACCTATGCGGGCAACTCTCCTAATAACGTACACCTTCGGGACAGCAATTAAGTGTCGGCAATAGCGAGTGTCCGCTGTAAAGAGAGTTATTTTCAATACAATCGATTCTCGTTATAACGTACACCTTCGGGACAGTAATTAAGTGTCCGCAATAACGAGTGTTCGCTGTAAAGAGAGATATTTTCAGTACAGTCAACTCTCGTTATAACGGACACCTTTGGACAGTAATTKTAAGTGTCCGCAATAACGAGTGTCCGTTGTAAAAGGAKTTACTTGTGACGGCCTGCTCTTATTACTGGGATGCCCTCAAGCGAGAGTTGRTTGTATTTGTTTCTTGATTYCAGTGCTGGTGTGATCCTAAACATGCCGTACGTCCAAGAGCATCTGGCTTTGTTTATAAAAGAAAAAGAAAACTTACAAGAGGCTCTTCATGCAAGGTATCGTAACCTAGGAAGTGGATGGAAGGGAAGGAATGTTCAATTCCCAAAAAGGTTTTTTTTAAGATAGTAGCACACTTTCTGGGTATTTTGGTTGACTAAAAACGAATAAAAGAATCGAGGACGAGGCTACATTGTACAGCGGTTAATGAGAGCAAAATAAAATGGTTGCTTGGYGTTTAATACACATAGAAAATGATATGAATGAAAAGTTACCGCTTTCTCAATTAATGGTTGGCTGCCTGTGAAGAAAAATCTCTATTTTTATTATAAGGAAACATTTACATCTTACCAAGTCGACAAGCGATGACGTCAAACGGTGTGCCTCAGCTGTAGCTACCAGGCTCCAACAAGAATTCGCTATCAAGACACTGAAACAAAGAGCTAAGTCTGCCACACCTTCAAAGCTTGTTTCTATAGCAACAAATGATTGTGAAGCGGAAGAAGACAACAAGGAAACCGGAAATAGCGGTAAGTTGATTTCCAGAAATCTGATTTCTCTGTCCCATTTTTCCCCGTTTTTGTTGTTGTTGTTGTTTCTTCCGGCTAACGCGATCGCGGCCGCCGCCTCTTTTGACTGTACGGCATGACTTGAGCGAAACGTTTTCTCAATCGTCCTATGAAACCATCCCTTTSGACGTACTTTTCTGTCCAATAATATGATCCTTCACAGTTACGTGCGCCGTCTTGAAAGGTAGCCTTTACATCGAAGCGAGACGACCGTTGAGCGTGCAATGATAGAWACCTGTGAATARTTGTCTSTAGKTGTGAAAGAAGGTTTCTATCATTGCACGCTCAACGGTCGTCTTGCTTWGATGYAAAGGCACGGMTGCCTTTCAAGATGGCGCAGGKAACCGTGAAGAGGACTATTAATACCACCATCCCCGCCATCTGTCGATGTCCCATTGCTGGCCGGATTAATGAGGTTCCCCTATATCATTAAATGAATGTGTTGGCTTTATTTAGAGGAAAACCAAAAGAAAGACCAAGACGAATGTAGTGATTATTCAGACGACTTTGTTGAATCAGAAGACGATATTTATATGGACGATTTTGAGGACGATTCGCCTATGAACGGCTCATTAAAGAAACCGCTACCGACGGTCGATAATGACAATGCCGAGGAGGACTATCCTGATGATTTTGAGGAGGATTCAGATGCGGAGGAGGTAACGACATTAATGTGCTTTATGTTTTGCCTACAACCATCGTATGCAACCTACCTAAGTTATCATTAGCACTGGAAAAAATCGCGCGCATTTGATGGAAATATGATGTAAGTGTCCAAAATGATGTAAATTTAATGGAAATAATTTACATCAAATTTACATCATTTTGGACACTTACATCATATATACATCAAATTTACAACCTTTAAAGCGCGCGATTTTTTCCAGTGTAGGTTGAATTAAACTGCACAACTTTTGCCTACAGACCCCTAAAAGATCCCGGAAGTCTTGAAAAAAGGGCGTGGCTGACTGATCTTTGACCCCTATGAGATTGCACAACAAATAAAAGTTAAATCAGTTCCAATGATAAAAAAGCAGAAGAAAATCAATATCGATGCACTCTTTCTCTTCTTTTTGACCCTAAGAGATTCCAGAAAATACAAATTTCCATAGAAACTCAAAATTGACACCCCAAAAGATGATTTCCAATCACGAATTTTTACCCCTAAAAGATCCGACGAGCATCCCCGGTACTTTACCCCGGAGTACCCCCGTGTTCAATTCAATAGACGTAATAAAAGCTTTAGAACTAAATTAATTGTAGCCTCCTTTGCAGACGTTATTAGTGGAGGGAACGTATGCCGACCGATACTAATAACGTCTGCAAAGGAGGCTACATTAACTGGCATGCCCTTAATGAATGACGACGCATTGCCTATTCACAAACCAAATTTATCTGGTCATGCTTTCCCGTAGGTTTTAGGTGACATTCTAGCAAGCGCCAGAGCAGCCCAAGAAGTTGAAGGTTTGTTATTCAAAATGCTCGAATTATCTTTAATATGGTCACATAGTCCATATCACAAGCCCGCCATTTTGAATGGTTTTGCAATGTATCATGGGATATATATATCTCCCTTTCTTCATAAAAACAAATAGCTAAAATCGTAAAAACACTAATTAGTTTCGATTTTTCCACAGACAAAATATGTTTCTTTTCATCTTTGCTTGGTTTGCCTAGTAAATGGAAATTCTTGATTAACTGTACATTTTTTGGAGGTTTTTCTTGCTGTATTTCATTGCATGTTGATATTTGTTTGTTTTTTCGCTTCTGAGATTAACTACAATATCAATATTTCCCAATGTTTTTCGAAAACTGAGTCCACGTTACAGACAATTGGAGCACTGACATCGTTTTTCACTTGTTTACTCATTTATCAATCCCAAAATGCACTGCGTCACGGGTTGCGATATGGACTACCCTTATTTCCTATACCAATCTTTCAATAGTCTTTTTCTCGTTTCCCTGTGATATCTTGAAATTTAACCACGCCTTTGCATCGAAGCGAGGCGACCCTTGAGCTTGTAATGATCAATATCTCTGAATAATTGTCTGTAGATGTAAAAGAAGGTTTCTATCATTGCACGCCCATGAGGGTTGATCAACCCCTTCAAACTTTTCAATTCTCACAGACAATTATTCGTAGATATCGATCATTGCACGCTCAACATCCATCTTGCTTTGTTGAGATACTCTGCAAACAGATCTACTTTTCTGCTTTCTCGGCGGGTGAGAAAAGGAGATCTGTTCGCAGAGTACTTTTAAGATGGCGCGGGGAACGTTCTGTTTCTTCCCACGAACGATTCACGCTCCTTGTTCTTATTTGAATCCACAGAAGAGGAAGAATTAGTAGAAGATTGTGAAGATACAGTTTCTTGTCGACAACGTTTAAAAGAGTAAGCTTTCCCTTCAGTTCTCTCTGTTCATGATAATAAATTCTTTTATGCTTATGATGTCATGCGTGTTTGATCGAAGTGCATGATGGTATTGATTAGCAGTTTCAAAATGGCGATCCACAGGAATAACAACCAATATATTGTCAATTATTTTCTTATTTCTACAGACATTTCATAGATGTTTTAGGCGGCGAAAAAGCCTTTGAAGACGTGTGTGGTCAATTGGAAAATTCAAGTGTTGAAAAAACACTGGCTGAACGGTAAGAAATAAGAGAATATTTGTTAATTATCCGGTACGTGAATTGCCGGACCTCCTGTGCTCTTACTTACGAAAGAGACTGGAGATAGAAGGTTGACTTATCGACAATTCTGGAATTGAAGTGCATAATTTCATAGACGGTTTTGTGAAGGATGAATAGCGCTTTTCATCGGCTAAATTTTGTTTTTTATTTATTTTTAATCTTTCATCCACAGCCCAGAATTCGAGAAGGTTCAATCGGGTTCCAATTTAATGGAGACATGTTATCTTGTTAATGAGCTTTTTATCGAAAATCCAAAACCTGAAAGTTGACAACGCTGAGAAGCAGGGAAATGCGACATTGAATCAGCTAGTCACGTGACTAAAGGGACAAATCATGGAATGACCAAGTGACTGAACGGGAGAGTTGCGTGACAGAACTAACTGCCACTCAAAGTAAGAGTTTATTAACTAGCAATCTTTGCATTAGTCACGTGACTAACCTGACCAATCATGGAATGAATTAGCCCTGCCAAAGAAGGGAAAAGTCATGAGTTGAAAAGTCACGTGTCTTCAAACCACATGGTTACTGAAAGGAAGAAATGAAATCTATGAACATGCTGGTCACGTGGCTAAAAGGACCAATCACTGCATCTCCATATACTGGATTGAAACCCCATGAAGCGGGATTATTGGGATTCAAGTATAACAAACATTTAGCCGTATTTTTCATCGAATGCATGTTGGAAAACTCTAAGTTTTCAAGTTTAAATTTATTCAGATACGATTCGTTCCGAGATTCCTCTAACCAAACACTTGCTTTGCTCTCGGAACCCATCTTCACGTAGGTAGACTAGAATGATTCCATAAGTCGTGACCAGACAGACTGGTGAAATCAGTCTAGTAGGTAAACATGTCCGGAATAGATCTCCAGATTTTTTGTCGCGCGTAGATTGCTTTTAGATTACCTGCAAAGAAGCATTCGCAGATTTATACATCCAGACCCGTATTAACGGGTCCATTGTCAGCGTTGTAAAACCAAGTGCAGTTTCACACAGTTTAGAATATGATATCTAATGTACATAGCGTGTGATATTTTTTTAATAAAAATGTAATTGCACATAGCAATGTTATTTTATTTGACAAATTCCCAAAAAGCTGTTGGCTTCAAACTTGAAAGTTGTATCGTCAAAGCTAAGGGCAAAGGGAATATGGGAATGCGAATAGCTAGTATATCATTCAAAGTGTTTTAGTTCTTGCACACTGTTAAATATACATACAGAACTTGTAAAAATGGCGCCGATATTTCACGATCGCTGATTGGGTACCKGTAGGAATGAAATAGAAAAATGAGGTCTCAAAGGCCAGCTCTCGTCTATTAAACAAAATGGCGTCTTTCTCGAGAACTTTGACAGATCTAGAAACGTCACAAACCACCACTACGCGTGCGATTTTCGCAGTATTTGACGTTAGGACAGGCCTTGTTTCCATGTTTCGTCAGTAGTGGCGGACGGCAGTCCTACTGCCATTCTTAAAAGTTATCGATAATACTTGTTTGAAATTCCCGAGTACCCAGAGTACTCTTCGGTCTTGAATTAGGTCTCAACGTTATTTGAATTTGCTGTATTTTATTTTTGGCCCAGTGCTGCTTTGTATAGAGCCTCACTTTATGATCCATTGACTTTTTCCATTTTTTNAAATGAATGTGTTGGCTTTATTTAGAGGAAAACCAAAAGAAAGACCAAGACGAATGTAGTGATTATTCAGACGACTTTGTTGAATCAGAAGACGATATTTATATGGACGATTTTGAGGACGATTCGCCTATGAATGGCTCATTAAAGAAACCTCTACCGACGGTCGATAATGACAATGCCGAGGAGGACTATCCTGATGATTTTGAGGAGGACTCAGATGCGGAGGAGGTAATGACATTAAAGTGCTTCAGGTTTTGCTTACAACCACCGTATGCAACCTACCTAAGTCATCATTAAGGTTGACTTAGACTGCACAACTTTTGCCTACAGACCCCTAAAAGATCCCGGAAGTCTTGAAAAAAGGGCGTGGCTGACTGATCTTTGACCTCTATGAGATTGCACAACAAATAAAAGTTAAATCAGTTAATAATGATAAAAAAGCATGGAAGAAAATCAATATCGATGCACTCTTTCTCTTCTTTTTGACCCTAAGAGATTGCAGAAAATACAAATTTCCAGAAACTCAAAATTGACACCCTAAAAGATTTCCAATCACGAATTTTTACCCCTAAAAGATCCGACGACCATCCCCGGTACTTTACCCCGGAGTGCCCACCGTGTTCATTTCAATGGACGTATTATCAAATTCATTAATAATTCATAAGGTAAACACAATTGAAAATCATTGCCGTGACCGCATCTTTATATGAGCAAGAGATTTGTCCTGATTTGCATACGACTTTAACTTCGATTTTCTCTTTCAAATGATATTTTATCCTGAAGTTTTTTTCCGAAATATGCTTTACCTTATGTTGGAATTTGATAAGCAATATAAAATATTCGCGTCCGACCTTTATKGRCYRTAAAACTGCTCGCTTGCAGCTCGCAGTTTTAAATGCCCATAAAGGTCTCCCGCTCGTATTTTATATATTACATAAAAGCTTTAGAACTAAATTAATTGTAGCCTCCTTTGCAGACGTTATTAGTGGAGGGAACGTATGACCGATACTAATAACGTCGGTAAAGGAGGCTACATTAACTGCCATGCCCTTAATGAATGACGACGCATTTTTTCCCGTAGGTTTTAGGTGACATTCTAGCAAGCGCCAGAGCAGCCCAAGAAGTTGAAGGTTTGTTATTCGAAATGCTCGAATTATCTTTAATATGGTCACATAGTCCATATCACAAGCCCGCCATTTTGAATGGTTTTGCAATGTATCATGGGATGTATATCTCCCTTTCTTCTTAAAAACAAATAGCTAAAATCGTAAAAACACTAATTAGTTTCGATTTTTCCACAGACAAAATATGTTTCTTTTCATTTTTGCTTGGTTTGCCTAGTAAATGGAAATTCTTGAGGAACTGTACATTTTTTGGAGGTTTTTCTTGCTGTATTTTCTTGCATGTTGATATTTGTTTGTTTTTTCGCTTCTGAGATTAACTACAATATCAATATTTCCMMATGTYTTTCGAAAACTGAGTCTACGTTACAGACAACTGGATCACTGACATCGTTGTTCACTTGTTTACTCACGTATCAATCCCAAAATGCACTGCGTCACAAGGCTTTCCGCGGGTTGCGATATGGACTATGTCTCACATGACCTACCCCTATTTCCTATACCAATCTTTCAATAGTCTTTTTCTCGTTTCCCTGTGATATCTTGAAATGTAACCACGCCTTTGCATCGAAGCGAGGCGACCCTTGAGCTTGTAATGATCAATATCTCTGAATAATTGTCTGTAGATGTAAAAGAAGGTTTCTATCATTGCACTCCCATGAGGGTTGATCAACCCCTTCAAACTTTTCAATTCTCACAGACAATTATTCGTAGATATCGATCATTGCACGCTCAACATCCATCTTGCTTTGTTGAGATACTCTGCAAACAGATCTACTTTTCTGCTTTCTCGGCGGGTGAGAAAAGGAGATCTGTTCGCAGAGTACTTTTAAGATGGCGCGGGGAACGTTCTGTTTCTTCCCACGAACGATTCACGCTCCTTGTTCTTATTTGAATCCACAGAAGAGGAAGAATTAGTAGAAGATTGTGAAGATACAGTTTCTTGTCGACAACGTTTAAAAGAGTAAGCTTTCCCTTCAGTTCTCTCTGTTCATGATAATAAATTCTTTTATGCTTATGATGTCATGCGTGTTTGATCGAAGTGCATGATGGTATTGATTAGCAGTTTCAAAATGGCGATCCACAGGAATAACAACCAATATATTGTCAATTATTTTCTTATTTCTACAGACATTTCATAGATGTTTTAGGCGGCGAAAAAGCCTTTGAAGACGTGTGTGGTCAATTGGAAAATTCAAGTGTTGAAAAAACACTGGCTGAACGGTAAGAAATAAGAGAATATTTGTTAATTATCCGGTACGTGAATTGCCGGACCTCCTGTGCTCTTACTTACGAAAGAGACTGGAGATAGAAGGTTGACTTATCGACAATTCTGGAATTGAAGTGCATAATTTCATAGACGGTTTTGTGAAGGATGAATAGCGCTTTTCATCGGCTAAATTTTGTTTTTTATTTATTTTTAATCTTTCATCCACAGCCCAGAATTCGAGAAGGTTCAATCGGGTTCCAATTTAATGGAGACATGTTATCTTGTTAATGAGCTTTTTATCGAAAATCCAAAACCTGAAAGTTGACAACGCTGAGAAGCAGGGAAATGCGACATTGAATCAGCTAGTCACGTGACTAAAGGGACAAATCATGGAATGACCAAGTGACTGAACGGGAGAGTTGCGTGACAGAACTAACTGCCACTCAAAGTAAGAGTTTATTAACTAGCAATCTTTGCATTAGTCACGTGACTAACCTGACCAATCATGGAATGAATTAGCCCTGCCAAAGAAGGGAAAAGTCATGAGTTGAAAAGTCACGTGTCTTCAAACCACATGGTTACTGAAAGGAAGAAATGAAATCTATGAACATGCTGGTCACGTGGCTAAAAGGACCAATCACTGCATCTCCATATACTGGATTGAAACCCCATGAAGCGGGATTATTGGGATTCAAGTATAACAAACATTTAGCCGTATTTTTCATCGAATGCATGTTGGAAAACTCTAAGTTTTCAAGTTTAAATTTATTCAGATACGATTCGTTCCGAGATTCCTCTAACCAAACACTTGCTTTGCTCTCGGAACCCATCTTCACGTAGGTAGACTAGAATGATTCCATAAGTCGTGACCAGACAGACTGGTGAAATCAGTCTAGTAGGTAAACATGTCCGGAATAGATCTCCAGATTTTTTGTCGCGCGTAGATTGCTTTTAGATTACCTGCAAAGAAGCATTCGCAGATTTATACATCCAGACCCGTATTAACGGGTCCATTGTCAGCGTTGTAAAACCAAGTGCAGTTTCACACAGTTTAGAATATGATATCTAATGTACATAGCGTGTGATATTTTTTTAATAAAAATGTAATTGCACATAGCAATGTTATTTTATTTGACAAATTCCCAAAAAGCTGTTGGCTTCAAACTTGAAAGTTGTATCGTCAAAGCTAAGGGCAAAGGGAATATGGGAATGCGAATAGCTAGTATATCATTCAAAGTGTTTTAGTTCTTGCACACTGTTAAATATACATACAGAACTTGTAAAAATGGCGCCGATATTTCACGATCGCTGATTGGGTACCKGTAGGAATGAAATAGAAAAATGAGGTCTCAAAGGCCAGCTCTCGTCTATTAAACAAAATGGCGTCTTTCTCGAGAACTTTGACAGATCTAGAAACGTCACAAACCACCACTACGCGTGCGATTTTCGCAGTATTTGACGTTAGGACAGGCCTTGTTTCCATGTTTCGTCAGTAGTGGCGGACGGCAGTCCTACTGCCATTCTTAAAAGTTATCGATAATACTTGTTTGAAATTCCCGAGTACCCAGAGTACTCTTCGGTCTTGAATTAGGTCTCAACGTTATTTGAATTTGCTGTATTTTATTTTTGGCCCAGTGCTGCTTTGTATAGAGCCTCACTTTATGATCCATTGACTTTTTCCATTTTTTTATGAAATGTTATCGGAAATTTTCCATGAGCTTGGCCATATTACTGACAAAAGAATAACACTTAAGCAGTCGGCTTTAAAAGCTTACAAACRAAGACAATGAGATAGACTGGTTTTATGAATAGCTTTTTTCTCTATTTTGCTCTGCTTGTTAAAGCCGCTAATGATGTTATGATGACTTAGCCGCTTTAGCGAAGCTTTTTTTGATTCATGCACTTTTAACTCACAAAAAACAAGAACAACAAGAAATATTATGTATATTTTAAATTGAAATCATGATGAAAAGTATAGGAGAAGTCGAAGAAAAATGTCTGAAATCGATCACTTTGGGATGTGGGAATAGATAAACAATGCCATTTTAGATTAACAATTTTATTTTTATTTATTTCTCCATTATACGTAAAGGTATTATTTTCACTAGTGAAAATCACACATTCGAAGTTTCTCTATGTAGTGGAAGTAAGAAAAAAAGCTATTTTATGACATAATTTAAGTTCATATGCAATTATATGAAAAGTGGATTACATGGTCGCTTGAAGATACGAATTTTATCTCGTGTTGAAAATCTCGCACTCGTTCGCTGCGCTCACTCGTGAGAGATCTTTTCAACACTCGAAGATAAAACCCGTATCCCCGCGCGCCCATGTAATATGCTCTATGTAGATCATTTTGGATGGTCCTATACAAGCCGATGTATCTTGCAGTAATAGCTAAGTTCAGTCAAAGCGAGTGTCTTGATGATCTTCTGACATTAGAAATAGCCAGTATACTGTAGTAAGAACAATTACCAGAGAAGCTGTAAAAAGTGTCTTTATTTCACCTGGTCATATTTTGACAATGGAGAGTTTAAGCATCACGTTTACGGCAAACGGCTAACGGCAGAGCTGAACCAATGAAATAAGGAATAGTTTCGTGCCTAACCTTGTGTTTTTGGTAGTCATTGGAAAGACAGACTTTTCACGATTATGGCAAACTCAAAATAACCCACTCTCACGTTGAAACTGTAACGGTAAACCCCAAAAAAGTTGGTCGCATGATCTTTTCCTCTTTTTGCCATGAACGTCATGCTTAAGCTCTTATCCAAGTATAAAAAAAAAGCGAGAGAAATAGATTTATTTGCGGTYAATTTTAATTGGAGCTTCGTTTACTCAGCTCTCCTTACTGATACAAAAATACCGCCGTTAATTAGATTACTTTGTTTGATTTATTCAAGTAATAGTTTGTATTATAAAAGAAATTATCRAAATATGTGATTGAAAACTGTTGGTTAGTGCCAAACCTCACGTATTGGCCGCCATATTGGATCTTTTTGACCTTCCAAGATGGCGAATAGAGGCTTATATTAAAACTCACATCCTTGGAATTGCCGAGGCTAAGTGTTGGGCATTTGGCAAAAATACAGAGTTCTGCTTAGTGTAATTACGCCGTATAGTTTTGTTTTAGAAGCCTTTGTGGTGGGCTGTAMGAACAGAGCTATYCACCGGGCATTGTTTCTATATAAAATCTATAGATTGGATAACTTTATCTGCACCCTTACTTCTACCGGATTTTTTTAGCATTGAATGAGACTGCATTTTGAAAAGGTTGTTGCCACAAAGACCTACCCGATCTTCTCGTTTAGAGTATAGCATATTATCTTATCGCTTATCAAGTAATATACTACGAACACAGCGCGAAATTCGCGGAAATTATTTTTGACTGTAACAAATACAAACGTTTTAAATGTGGTCTAAATTGAGCTTTTTCCTACTCGGGCGAAAGTACAATTCAATACATTRCTTTYAAAAGCAGYAMCTCAAATGCAATTACAAATAGTTTCAAATTGAAGTCATGTTTTTCAGCACGCAAGAAATTAATTATCATACATGCCGGTTTTGAATGAATTTTCTTACATTTTAATTGGTCCAAAATTGTCACGTGGTGTTGGTCACATGACAGGTCACTATGACGAAGAACTGCTCTTTGCTTTCGTTGAAAATATGTTCTGAAGACGTTGACAAAATGACAGAAAATCAAAAACTTAGCATAACATTTAGATGAAAAATCACTCAGARGTGGTTTGGTTCTTAAAAGAAGAAATATTGAATCAATTGGCTGCAAAAGAACATTTCTAAGGTAAAGACTTTAAAATGTATTTATAAATATACTATCCTACTTAAATTTCTGTATTCAAAACTGTTCTATTTATAGTCAAATTACTGGGATAACATATTGAATATTTTTCTTTTTTAAAAACAACTTTCTRTACAATGAATAAACATGTTAATAAGGGAAGTATTTTGATATTCAATACAGAGAGTGAATATTTCATGAAAAAAGTCAAATTATTCCCACARTGTCATTATTTTATGATTTTATTATCAAGATTTTGTCAAAAYTTATACAATCGATATTTTAAGCTGTCGTTTTAATGCATGTTAGTTGCAACCAACGAAATCAATTTTCCCAAATGCCTCAGGAAATCCCTAGTCTAGATTCATTACCGGGTAATCAGTTAGAAAAATCGCTTATCATGCGAGTAAAATACTTGGGATAATTACCGAATATTGCTGGAACCACCTTCGCTAATTATCAGAGTTAACGGGAGATTTGACTGCACTGATACACGCAGTTTTGAGCAATCGATGACAAGCTAAAATTCAGACAGAATTGAAGCTCAATGAATTGTTTAACACTGAGTTGAGTATGACCTAGTAATTAGCGCTATTTTTGTGGTACGTCAGATGTAAATATTGCATTTAAACTTGCAAGACTATAGCGGTGGTATCATTATCATTAAAAATATCTAATTACTTTTTTTTTCAATGCCCCTTTTAATGCGTTCCCAGCTTTTCTAATGGCTATAGTTCTAATAAAAGCTTCACAATTCAAAGTGCCATTCATATGGTAGCGATTTCAAATCACACTTGGCGCACGCAAATATTTTGGTTTGAAATTTTCTTTGAAAACGCTTCTTCAGKGCGGGCTTTCATATCTATATTAAAACTGAATCCCGTTTTTCTTTTATAGATTTGTCTCAGTATAAATCTAATTGATAATTTTTATGACACCGCCAAAAAGCGAACGTGACATTTCTTTGCGTTTTAGGCCGGCCTGGGTTAGCCTGTGTTTTTGCTATAAACTTATATAGCGATCGTGAAAATGAAAGATTTTTGTCAAAAGTCAAACCTAGTAATAGTATGCCAGGTATCTAGTTTAAAGAAGAAAAAGTATAAGTATTAGCAAGGACCTCTCAAAAGAAACCAAAAATRCTAAAGGGATTATGTAAATATACTTAGTTTTTAAGTAGGCAGTATCTTGTCAAAAGACAGCGAATGTTCTAGTTTAGCATACTGAAAAATTATTACAAAAATAATGTCGAGACAAAATAATTTAGCGTGCTTATCATTTTACATAACAATTATCTCTGAGATAAGGTGCATATTTATTAAACTTTTGGACAATTTTTTTCAAAATGTTTAATGCATTAATTATTCATGATTTATTGCAATCAAAAGAGTTAGTGAAATTTGCCTTATCGCAAAATCAAGTAGAAGGCGATTTTAAACGTGCAATTCAGCATTGATAGACGTCTAGGCCTTTATTACAGTAAATGACAGGATGTTTTTATTCAACAAATCTTGTTAATTGCTCATTTGGGTATCGATATCGTTTCTATGGAAATACAATAAAAAATGTCTTGTGCCACCTTAACTAAAGTGTATATATCAATAATTTGTGACGTTTGCGACTGTTGAAAGTAATCCTTCCTGACAGAAAAATTTGTCTAGAAATCTTTTTAAATCTGATCACTAAAGAGTTTGTAAATTTCATGCTATATGTTTAAACTGTTTTCGTTTTTAAAATCACCTCTTTCGACACACTACACCAAGACTTTGAATGAAAAAAAAAGTAGTGTAGTGCGTCGAAAGAGGTGATTTTAAAAACGAAAACAGTTTAACATATAGCATGAAAAAGAAAAATTTATGAACCTAGAATATATGTCAGCAAGCATAAATTAAGCACTTTTGATATTGGG